TGTCGATCGCACCCAATTAGTCAAACTTTTCGATCGCTCCTTACAGCATGCGGCGATAGTGCAGTGGTTAGCATCGCGGTCTTGCGTTGAGAGGGTTTTAGGTTCGAGCGCCTCTCGCGGCAGATTTCGCATTTGACTTCTTGTTTGCATTATTTTCGCACGACCAGTGAGTTTGCAACAAAAAAAGATTCAGATGTTAAGGTTTACCTTGTATACGAGACAAATAGCCTAAGTCGTCGCTTTGCTAATGTGAGAATATGTTAAAGGCGATTCTCCTTACTTAAGACGATTGGTTGTAGAATTTAAGAAGCAGAACTATGACGGACTACTAGAGAAATGTCTAAACGTGCAAACTTTGTTCAGGGTTGGTAAGAGCAGGCGTAACAACTGAGCTAGTTTAATTTCTAACTATGCAGTAAGTTTCTCCAATACTGGTATCAAAGCAAATGTGATATAATAGAATGGTCGTATAACAGCATACTGTTTAATAGTTTTAGTACAAGTGATCATTAGAATTAGCACTCTTAATGTAGACACACTACCTCTGGCCGCAGTACCGTAGCCTGCATAGTCCAAACTGAGTAGAAACTGCCACAGTCTCGTGGATAGAGCTGAGTGAGCGGAAACCAAGGGAAGCCCTGTTGTGCTTTGGGCTTCAAAGATTTATTTACTGGGAATAGCATAATCCGAGGTTCAAACTTCTTATTGAGGTTGAGGGGATATGAGCCCAACGATGACATTAATCAGCATCACTTCTGATTAATAGCAGCGTCAGTAACAGTACCAGTACTACTATCACTTAGCTACACTCCTATTTAGTAGTAGTAGTAGTAGTAGTAGTAGTAGTAGTAGTAGTAGTAGAAATGGTAGTAGCAGTAATAGCAGTACCAGCCTTGGTTTCCTTGAGTCTGTGGGATACGATGTGGTCCGGCTAGATAATAGGCGATTGAACGTATCCCAAAATTTATAAGCTAGTGAATATGATAAAATGTGGAAGGCCATAGTGTTAGGGAGAATATAATAAGGTGGAACAAGCGTAGAATGTAAGTAACATGCAATTGACTCCCAGACAATTGCAGTCCAGCCACGAATGGGCGGGATTCCAGAGGCGCAGTCCGGCAAGTAGATCACCGCGTCCGGTCAACTACAACCGAACAGTAGATCGTCGGTTCCGGGAGTGACTGAGCGTAAAC